TATACAGAGATCTGGTTCTTGTTTAGATACTTCTGACCTGGCACTATACAGAGATCTGGTTCTTGTTTAGATACTACTGACCTGGCACTATACAGAGGTCTGGTTCTTGTTTAGATACTACTGACCAGGCACTATACAGAGATCTGGTTCTTGTTTAGATACTACTGACCTGGCACTATACAGAGATCTGGTTCTTGTTTAGATACTACTGACCTGGCACTATACAGAGATCTGGTTCTTGTTTAGATACTTCTCACCTGGCACTATACAGAGATCTGGTTCTTGTTTAGATACTACTGACCTGGCACTATACAGAGATCTGGTTCTTGTTTAGATACTTCTGACCTGGCACTATACAGAGATCTGGTTCTTGTTTAGATACTTCTGACCTGGCACTATACAGAGATCTGGTTCTTGTTTAGATACTTCTGACCTGGCACTATACAGAGATCTGGTTCTTGTTTAGATACTTCTGACCTGGCACTATACAGAGGTCTGGTTCTTGTTTAGATACTTCTCACCTGGCACTATACAGAGATCTGGTTCTTGTTTAGATACTACTGACCTGGCACTATACAGAGATCTGGTTCTTGTTTAGATACTACTGACCTGGCACTATACAGAGATCTGGTTCTTGTTTAGATACTACTGACCAGGCACTATACAGAGATCTGGTTCTTGTTTAGATACTACTGACCAGGCACTATACAGAGATCTGGTTCTTGTTTAGATACTACTGACCTGGCACTATACAGAGATCTGGTTCTTGTTTAGATACTTCTGACCTGGCACTATACAGAGATCTGATTCTTGTTTAGATACTACTGACCTGGCACTATACAGAGATCTGGTTCTTGTTTAGATACTTCTGACCTGGCACTATACAGAGATCTGGTTCTTGTTTAGATACTTCTGACCTGGCACTATACAGAGATCTGGTTCTTGTTTAGATACTACTGACCTGGCACTATACAGAGATCTGGTTCTTGTTTAGATACTTCTGACCAGGCACTATACAGAGGTCTGGTTCTTGTTTAGATACTACTGACCTGGCACTATACAGAGGTCTGGTTCTTTTTTAGATACTTCTCACCTGGCACTATACAGAGATCTGGTTCTTGTTTAGATACTACTGACCTGGCACTATACAGAGATCTGGTTCTTGTTTAGATACTTCTCGCCTGGCACTATACAGAGATCTGGTTCTTGTTTAGATACTTCTGACCTGGCACTATACAGAGATCTGGTTCTTGTTTAGATACTACTGACCTGTCACTATACAGAGATCTGGTTCTTGTTTAGATACTTCTGACCTGGCACTATACAGAGGTCTGGTTCTTGTTTAGATACTTCTGACCTGGCACTATACAGAGGTCTGGTTCTTGTTTAGATACTTCTCACCTGGCACTATACAGAGGTCTGGTTCTTGTTTAGACACTTCTGACCTGGCACTATACAGGCACTATACAGAGATCTGGTTCTTGTTTAGATACTTCTGACCAGGTACTATACAGAGATCTGGTTCTTGTTTAGATACTTCTGACCTGGCACTATACAGAGGTCTGATTCTTGTTTAGATACTACTGACCTGGCACTATACAGAGGTCTGGTTCTTGTTTAGATACTTCTGACCAGGCACTATACAGAGGTCTGATTCTTGTTTAGATACTACTGACCTGGCACTATACAGAGGTCTGGTTCTTGTTTAGATACTACTGACCTGGCACTATACAGAGGTCTGATTCTTGTTTAGATACTTCTGACCTGGCACTATACAGAGAGTCTGGTTCTTGTTTAGATACTACTGACCTGGCACTATACAGAGATCTGGTTCTTGTTTAGATACTGGCACTATACAGAGATCTGACCTGGCACTATACAGAGGTCTGATTCTTGTTTAGATACTACTGACCTGGCACTATACAGAGACCTGGCACTATCTGATTCTTGTTTAGATACTACTGACCTGGCACTATACAGAGATCTGGTTCTTGTTTAGATACTACTGACCTGGCACTATACAGAGATCTGGTTCTTGTTTTAGATACTTCTGACCTGGCACTATACAGAGATCTGGTTCTTGTTTAGATACTACTGACCTGGCACTATACAGAGGTCTGGTTCTTGTTTAGATACTACTGACCTGGCACTATACAGAGATCTGGTTCTTGTTTAGATACTACTGACCTGGCACTATACAGAGATCTGGTTCTTGTTTAGATACTTCTGACCTGGCACTATACAGAGATCTGGTTCTTGTTTAGATACTTCTGACCTGGCACTATACAGAGATCTGGTTCTTGTTTAGATACTTCTGACCTGGCACTATACAGAGATCTGGTTCTTGTTTAGATACTTCTGACCTGGCACTATACAGAGGTCTGGTTCTTGTTTAGATACTTCTGACCTGGCACTATACAGAGGTCTGGTTCTTGTTTAGATACTTCTGACCTGGCACTATACAGAGATCTGGTTCTTGTTTAGATACTTCTGACCTGGCACTATACAGAGATCTGGTTCTTGTTTAGATACTTCTGACCTGGCACTATACAGAGATCTGGTTCTTGTTTAGATACTTCTCACCTGGCACTATACAGAGGTCTGGTTCTTGTTTAGATACTTCTGACCTGGCACTATACAGAGATCTGGTTCTTGTTTAGATACTTCTGACCTGGCACTATACAGAGATCTGGTTCTTGTTTAGATACTACTGACCTGGCACTATACAGAGATCTGGTTCTTGTTTAGATACTACTGACCTGGCACTATACAGAGATCTGGTTCTTGTTTAGATACTTCTGACCTGGCACTATACAGAGATCTGGTTCTTGTTTAGATACTTCTCACCTGGCACTATACAGAGATCTGGTTCTTGTTTAGATACTTCTGACCTGGCACTATACAGAGATCTGGTTCTTGTTTAGATACTTCTGACCTGGCACTATACAGAGATCTGGTTCTTGTTTAGATACTTCTGACCTGGCACTATACAGAGATCTGGTTCTTGTTTAGATACTTCTGACCTGGCACTATACAGAGATCTGGTTCTTGTTTAGATACTTCTCGCCTGGCACTATACAGAGATCTGGTTCTTGTTTAGATACTACTGACCTGGCACTATACAGAGATCTGGTTCTTGTTTAGATACTTCTGACCTGGCACTATACAGAGATCTGGTTCTTGTTTAGATACTACTGACCTGGCACTATACAGAGATCTGGTTCTTGTTTAGATACTTCTGACCTGGCACTATACAGAGATCTGGTTCTTGTTTAGATACTTCTGACCTGGCACTATACAGAGATCTGGTTCTTGTTTAGATACTTCTCGCCTGGCACTATACAGAGATCTGGTTCTTGTTTAGATACTACTGACCTGGCACTATACAGAGATCTGGTTTTAGATACTTCTCACCTGGCACTATACAGAGGTCTGGTTCTTGTTTAGATACTTCTCACCTGGCACTATACAGAGGTCTGATTCTTGTTTAGATACTTCTGACCTGGCACTATACAGAGATCTGGTTCTTGTTTAGATACTACTGACCAGGCACTATACAGAGATCTGGTTCTTGTTTAGATACTTCTGACCTGGCACTATACAGAGATCTGGTTCTTGTTTAGATACTTCTGACCTGGCACTATACAGAGATCTGATTCTTGTTTAGATACTACTGACCTGGCACTATACAGAGATCTGGTTCTTGTTTAGATACTTCTGACCTGGCACTATACAGAGATCTGGTTCTTGTTTAGATACTTCTGACCTGGCACTATACAGAGATCTGAGATCTTGTTTAGATACTTCTGACCTGGCACTATACAGAGATCTGGTTCTTGTTTAGATACTACTGACCTGGCACCTATACAGAGATCTGGTTCTTGTTTAGATACTATTGACCTGGCACTATACAGAGATCTGGTTCTTGTTTAGATACTTCTGACCTGGCACTATACAGAGATCTGGTTCTTGTTTAGATACTTCTGACCTGGCACTATACAGAGATCTGGTTCTTGTTTAGATACTTCTGACCTGGCACTATACAGAGATCTGGTTCTTGTTTAGATACTACTGACCTGGCACTATACAGAGATCTGGTTCTTGTTTAGATACTACTGACCTGGCACTATACAGAGATCTGGTTCTTGTTTAGATACTACTGACCTGGCACTATACAGAGATCTGGTTCTTGTTTAGATACTTCTGACCTGGCACTATACAGAGATCTGGTTCTTGTTTAGATACTTCTGACCTGGCACTATACAGAGATCTGATTCTTGTTTAGATACTTCTGACCTGGCACTATACAGAGATCTGGTTCTTGTTTAGATACTTCTGACCTGGCACTATACAGAGATCTGGTTCTTGTTTAGATACTTCTCACCTGGCACTATACAGAGATCTGGTTCTTGTTTAGATACTACTGACCTGGCACTATACAGAGATCTGGTTCTTGTTTAGATACTTCTGACCTGGCACTATACAGAGATCTGGTTCTTGTTTAGATACTTCTGACCTGGTACTATACAGAGATCTGGTTCTTGTTTAGATACTTCTGACCTGGCACTATACAGAGATCTGGTTCTTGTTTAGATACTTCTCACCTGGCACTATACAGAGATCTGGTTCTTGTTTAGATACTTCTGACCTGGCACTATACAGAGATCTGGTTCTTGTTTAGATACTTCTGACCTGGCACTATACAGAGATCTGGTTGTTGTTTAGATACTTCTCACCTGGCACTCAATTATTCTGTTCACTTTTGCAGTGTTACATGAATTTTGTCCTCGAACAAATTGCAGACTTAAGGCAAGAGTTCTTTTCAACAGAACTTATAGAATTCAAATACTATTTTCAATAGACTGTGATCATAACCTCATTTTCCCCTGTTAGTTGTGAAATCTGGGAGATTCTGTCTGTTTGTAAGAAAACCATCTGCCATCATCAACTCCTGGCATATTGTCAATATCAGAGCAAAAAACATCCTTTCTTGTTTAGTTTCTCTTTGTTTTCACATGTTTTATTTACAATTGCATCAAAGAAATAAACACATCCAGATCTAGAAAACAGCATGTTAAATGTCAAACAAAAAAAGAAAGAAAATTATATATTTTTAAAACTTGACAAAGATTATGAAAAAATGGATTCATGAAAATCAATTGTCTAAAAACAACCACAGACGGAGCTTTTACATGGTAATGCAGACAGAAAAATATGTAATGGCAACAGATGTCCCATTCCCAGAAGGCATTGCTTCTTCCTACATGTTTCCTTTTGTCTCCCAACGCTGTTTGTGTTCAAATCTGAAAACAGAAATAATCTTATGGAAATATTTTGTAATTAAAGGAATAGATACAATTCAATTCTGATTTTGACATGAAATTGAATCTTCCCAGAGAGAGAGAGAGAGAGAGAGAGAGAGAGAGAGAGAGAGAGAGACTGTTTGGATGCTGATAATCAATCCTTAGCTTTCCACTACTTTCTCCCATTATCTGCAGCCCTGCTGTTCACAGGCCAGTCGGTCAGGTTAGGTGTTAATTTATGATGCATCTGTTGAAAACCCTGTATCCACGTTTCTTTAACATAAAGGTAACATGGGAGACTTTAGCCAGCTAGAATGTCTGAAACCAACACCCCGAGTGTTTGAAATATCTGCGTATATACTGATGCATAAGTTCATCCCTGCACACCACAAAACAATGATGTGGACTCTCCAGCATGCTGCAGTTAACCTGTAGAGCTGGAAGAGTTATTTCCCTTTATTTACATTTTCGCACACAAGTTCAACAAGATAATCACTAAGATAGTTGGTCTCGTTCCACACATTAACTGAGGACCTCTCTGTCCCCATTGAGTGTACTCAACATGATCTATTCCAGCAATGATATTCAAGTATTCTGTTTTTATTGTTTTAAAAGGAATACCCTATAAAAACTGCATATCCTCCGGTAGTAAACAAATTTTATGCAAAAGACTTATGCATATGCTTCATTTACAAACTGAAATGTGGGGGAATTACACAATTCTAAATTCTAATTATTGGATTTATTATCATGATTATAAGAATAGATACAGAACAAGATGATGGAATGTTTCAAAATGCTACATTAATCCATGTCAGTATCTTGGTGCTGAGATTAGTAATGGGAAAACTTGTGTGGGCACATCATGAAATTACTTGTGATCAGTGTCACTAGGCTCCACAGGTCTGAGTCAAGACCCCACAAAGCCCATCCTGGATCGTCCCCTGTGAGTTACCCTGTGTTCTCTGTCTGTGACACTTCCACTAAATGTTGTATATCATGAGTGGGAAGATAAATAGTGGGACAGCGGCATTTGACATCAGACAGGCCTCTGCTGGTCAGTCAGTGAATCAGACAGTGGATAATTCAAGTTTTAATCTGAAGAGAGATCTATGACCACCTACCCCCAGTTTAACTTCTTCTTTTTCTTGGCTTTAGCTGTCTCAGCCTCTTTCTGAAAAGTACAAAAATATTCTGTCAGCTGTATATCAGTTTATACATACGTTTCACATGTACGTGTAATTCGTGTTTATAGCCTTACTGTGGTCTTCCTGGTAAAGTCTTATAGCTCAGTGGATAAAGTGTTCACTTGCCTCACTCAATGTCTGGGTTTGATTCTCCACATGGAGAATCACACTTACACTGCTGTCAACAGTATTCCAGTTACATCACAGCAAGCCAGCTTCAGTGAAAGAAATCATACAATTTAAAAAAATCAACAGTACAGTACAACCAGAAATTATTGAGAATTTAAAGATTGTAATTTTTAAAAAAAAATTCACTCATTACTCACGTATTAAATGTGAATATTAGCAGAACATAACTCCAGATTCAAAGACAAATGAACAGTTAGTATTTTGTCAAGTCACCATGGGCAGCAATGCAGGCTTCAATGCAGCTGGGCATACTACTGATCAAAGAAGTTAGAAAGTCGTGGTCCATGCTGTCCCAATATCGGACCACCTCTTCTTTCATTTCAGCAATATTTGTCAGATTTTTCTTATTGACACTTTCCTTCATAAGTCCCCAAACATTTTCTATTGGATTCAGTTCAGGGTTATAGCTTGGCCAATCTAATAATGTCATATTTTGGGTCCGAAACCAGGCCTGTGAATGCTTTGAACGATGTTTTGGGCCGTTAGAACATGTGAGCAGATGGAAGTAAATGTCCCTTGAGAATATCTGTGTACCGCTCACTGTTCATATTCCCTTCAAATACACAGAGGGGCGCTGCAACTAACACATATATGCCACCCCACACGTTAAATTTCGAACTGTACTTTGGGTGCTGATACAAAGGTTTTTCAGTTTGTTTGGTCCAGAATTTCAGTGTATTAGGAAACAGCCACACACAACTTACATCTGAGAAAATCACATTGTCCCAGTTAAAATTTAAGCACCAGTTCAACCTTCGCTCCTTTTGTTCAGGTTTCATGATCGGTGATGGAATTCCTCGACTTTTCTGCCAACCCATTGCATGCAGCTCAGTTCTAATTGTCTCCTTGCAGACAGCCATAGTTCCTCTATCAATCATATCTAGCCTTAAGATTTCTAAACTCCTTCCTTTGTTTTAGAAACAAGAATACCAAGCCGCCTCCTGTCACCGACAGTCAATTTTCAGGGCCTACCTGCGCCTCCCTGGTGCTCAATGCCATATCCATTTGCAATATTTTTCAAAACACGATAAACAGTGGACAAAGGGATGCCTGTTCTACTTGAAATCACTTTAGCGGATCTGATGTCCTTGTTATAATACTCTAAAATCAACTTCCTCTTCTCTAAATCATCCATACTGAGGATCACTGAAAATGTTGTCTGCTAGCAAGTAAACAAAGGGGGATAACTCTTCACAAACTAATGAAAAAGAATTAACGGAGTTGTCTCTCTTGAATGAAACCAAGCTGGTCAAGGTTGTTTATACTAGAAATCCAATTAAACATATTCCTAAAATTCTCAATAATTTCTGGTCATACTATATAACATGAGCTGAGTGGCACCTCTTGCCAGTCAACAACGACATTGTAGCATGCAGCATGTGCAGTCCGTGCATTACACAAATTTATTTACACAAATGTCTACATAGTTTTAAAGATGCTTCTACGTTAATACTAGCCTAAGGTGACAAGAACACAATCTCAGACACACAGTTCAATCAGACCAAAGATGACAAGAACACAACCTTAGACACAGTTCAATCTGACAAAAGTTGACAAAAACACAATCTCAGGCACACAGTTCAATCAGACCAAAGTTGCACAAGAACACAACCTCAGACACACAGTTCAATCAGACAAAAGTTGACAAGAACACATTGTCAGACACACAGTTCAATCAGACCAAAGTTGACAAGAACACAATCTCAGACACACAGTTCAATCAGACCAAAGTTGACAAGAACACAATCTCAGACACACAGTTCAATCAGACCAAAGTTGACAAGAACACAATTTCAGACACAAACACAGTTCAATCAGACCAAAGTTGACAAGAACACAATTTCAGACACACAGTTCAATCAGACAAAGTTGACAAGAACACAATCTCAGACACACAGTTCAATCAGACCAAAGTTGACAAGAACACAATCTCAGACACACAGTTCAATCAGACCAAAGTTGACAAGAACACAATCTCAGACACACAGTTCAATCAGACCAAAGTTGACAAGAACACAATCTCAGACACACAGTTCAATCAGACAAAGTTTACAAAGAACACAATCTCAGACACACAGTTCAATCAGACCAAAGTTGACAAGAACACAATTTCAGACACACAGTTCAATCAGACCAAAGTTGACAAGAACACAATGTCAGACACACAGTTCAATCAGACCAAAGTTGACAAGAACATAATCTCAGACACACAGTTCAATCTGACCAAAGTTGACAAGAACACAATCTCAGACACACAGTTCAATCAGACCAAAGTTGACAAGAACACAACCTTAGACACACATGTGTTCAATCAGACCAAAGTTGACAAGAACACAATTTCAGACACACAGTTCAATCAGACCAAAGTTGACAAGAACACAATGTCAGACACACAGTTCAATCAGACCAAAGTTGACAAGAACATAATCTCAGACACACAGTTCAATCTGACCAAAGTTGACAAGAACACAATCTCAGACACACAGTTCAATCAGACCAAAGTTGACAAGAACACAACCTCAGACACACAGTTCAATCAGACCAAAGTTATGTCTACATAGTTTAAGAAATTGCCTTAATCTGCACGTCCCTATATTATATACCTTTTTGAATAGTACTGATGAACTAATATTTTATATTTATATTTTCCTAATATATGAATCTTACTATGTCACTTGTTATGCTAACAATTAAAAATGAAATTTTGAATAAATCATTACTCCATAACAGAATTGCGCTAACTGGCCCATCACTGTGCGCTTTGTCCTGACTGGCACATGTTATGATGTACTATGTGAGGAGAAATCAGATCAATTATTCAGATCACTTGGCTGGTAGCAGAAGGTCAGGTCCTGATCTGTGGAACTTTACTCAACAAACAGTCCATCAGTGGAGATGACTCACAGTCGCGAACAGTCAGTCAATATGAAAGGGAGATGATTAACCTGACATGTCATAACTCTGTGAGACACCACACCGTCGTCAGTGACAGTGGTAGAACTGATGAGAGTGGTATAATCAGTGAGAAAGGTACACTGGTGAGAGTGGTACAACTACTGAGAGTGGTACAATCAGTGAGAGTGGTACAACCAGTGAGAGTGGTACAACCAGTGAGAGTGGTACAACCAGTGAGAGTGGTACAACCAGTGAGAGTGGTACAACCAGTGAGAATGGTACAACCAGGTGAGAGTGGTACAACCAGTGAGAGTGGTACAACCAGTGAGAGTGGTACAACCAGTGAGAGTGGTACAACCAGTGAGAGTGGTACAACCAGTGAGAATGGGACAACCAATAAGAGTGGTACAACCAGTGAGAGTGGTACAACCGGTGAAAATGGTACAACTGGTGAGAGTGGTACAACCAGTGAGAGTGGTACAATCAGTGAGAGTGGTACAACCAGTGAGAGTGGTACAACCAGTGAGACTGGTACAACGAGTGCGAGTGGTACAACTGGTGAGAATGGTACAACCAGTGAGAGTGGTACAATCAATGAGAGTGGTACAATCAGTGTAAGTGGTACTTGTAACCAGTGGTACTTGGTACAACCAGTGAGAGTGGTACAACTGGTGAGATTGGTACAATCAGTGAGAGTGGTATTACCAGCAAGAGTGGTACAACCAGTGAGAGTGGTACAACTGGCGAGAGTGGTACAACCGGATAGAGCGGTACAACCGGCAAGAGCGGTACAACCAGTGAGAGTGGTACAATCAGTGAGAGTTGTACGACCAGTGAGAGTGGTACAACCGGTGAGAGTTGTACAACCGGTGAGAGTGGTACAACCAGTGAGAGTGGTACAACCAGTGAGAGTGGTACAACCAGTGAGAGTGGTACAATCAATGAGAGTGGTACAATCAGTGTAAGTGGTACTTGTAACCAGTGGTACTTGGTACAACCAGTGAGAGTGGTACAACCAGTGAGAGTGGTACAACCAGTGAGAGTGGTACAACTGGTGAGAGTGGTACAATCAGTGAGAGTGGTATTACCAGCAAGAGTGGTACAACCAGTGAGAGTGGTACAACTGGCGAGAGTGGTACAACCGGATAGAGCGGTACAACCGGCAAGAGCGGTACAACCAGTGAGAGTGGTACAATCAGTGAGAGTGGTACGACCGGTGAGAGTGGTACAACCGGTGAGAGTGGTACAACCGGTGAGAGTGGTACAACCAGTGAGAGTGGTACAACCGGTGAGAGTGGTACAACCAGTGAGAGTGGTACAACCAGTGAGAGTGGTACAACCAGTGAGAGTGGTACAACCAGTGAGAGTGGTACTGGGTCACCAGCAAGAGTGGTGAGAGTGATGCTGACAAACCACTGATTATGGTGATGCAATGTATCACCGGCAGATCCTGCCATATATAAGGGATGCCACTCCGCCTCCTGTGCACCTTATATTGCTGATAATCACAGACTCACCTGTTTGTCCTGCAGGTAGTTTCTTGCATCAATTGCATCAGCAATTCTTTTTCCAAACTGAAAAATAGGGAAAACAATGAAAGTAATATATTTGTTATACAAATCACAAGTTTGACAATAATAAGTACCCTACCCTGAACTATATATTTACAAAAACAATACTCATTTAAACTTGTAGCTAGAACAAATCATCTGTTAACTTGTTGCTTGTTCAAGTACAAAAATTAAGGGTAATTGCCATTAGTAGTATAGGGAATTTATCAGTTTCATATTACTTCTTCACATATTAAACATGTTAAGACAAAATATATATAACATACATCCAACATGCTGGACAATGTAAAGAATAATTTGTACTTAACACTGAAATGTGTTTGGGAAAAATGTAATACCTTTTGCTTCACATTTTAAATAAACACGGATCACAAAAATTAAATGATAATTTCTTAAATATGAAGAACCTCCAATAGAAGCAGTGACCAGACCAAGAGCTGGGCAAGAAAACCCATGCATCATGTAAGTCCCCCATGAGTTGTCTCCCTTCCCCACCAGGTGTCAGTGTGTGTGTGAGTGAATCATTACAGTGGTGTCTACTGCCGGGACTCAGCCACTGTCAGGTGGCTGGCAGGGTGGTGCCCTCACCCATCAATATCCCCCCACCCTGGGGCTCAGGAGGAGGAGTCACACACACAGGACATGTGGTGAGTCAGGGTGGTGGGCACAGTGGGATGAAGGGGGCTGGTGGGTGAATGAACATGAGATTTAACTGGTGAGTTGTGTGGTTTGTTTGGGAGTGAGTGTGTGAATGGAGGGGGGGAGGGGGGAATGGGAAATTAGGAAGAGGCAGGGAGGGAGAAGGGTATTTTTGCTTGTGGGAGTCAAAAGTATGCAGGGTCGGAGGAGTGGACACAGAGATAACTTAGGGGGGTGAGAACTAGACTGTCTCATAGTCCCAGAACCACATTATGTTTACTGCAGTAGAATTGTTTGTTTACTATCAGGAATTATCATACATATCCAGAGACTAAACATTAGTTTTTGTGAGATTAAGCATTATCTTACTGACATGGCCCTGTTATCGGTGCAGATGTTTTGACATCTTTATCACTGGGATGAGAAAGCTGATTTCAACATCTTTGAAAAGACAACTGATTTATTTAATTACTTTTTTTATGACCAACCTGTCATGTTCATCTGTTCATCTGATTCACTCAGTAATACAAACCAGGGAAAGAATGTGTGCAGTATTTATGCCTAAAATCCTGGGAGGAATAATAACACACTGTAGGAGCGGTGAACGGCAGGAAATAGTTCATAGCAGGAAGTGAACGATTTATCACGCGAGAGGAGAACAGGTTTTATTTTTTAGGTGTAGGAAAATTGTCAATATCTATATTTGTATAGGCCACACTGTCCCCAAAATTCATGCTGTAAAATAGAAGACACATGTGCGTAATTCCACCAAATATCTTTCCATTCTGTCATCATACAAGCCCCTGAGCTTGAAAACATTGTCTAGCATCGGCTATGTTTCCGTAAATTATCGAACTATCTTTGTGCCAAATTTGAATGCTTAGTGTTGCCCCATTTTCGAGCTTTCATCCTCGAAAGACCAACACCATCAAACTATTAGTGAACGATTTAAGAACCCAGACAAGTTGTCATGGTAAACGATTTCATTTTCTGTTGGTGAACGATTTACGGTCAACCTAAACTCGTCATCCAATTTGCAAAACAGCATTACGACTAACTATCAAGTATTCTATTCTTCAGATGTGATGTTTAAACGACGGAAATGTCACCATATCACTGCTACTAATGTTCTGAACATTTTCAAGACTTCAGTGGGGTGATATATCACTGTATTGACATTTACAGGGAGAAGACAATTACATTATTATTTATAAAGATATGTTTATGTCACATAACAGGTAACCTCAAATACGTACGAAAAGATTTCAAATATGTACCAAATGAAACTGATAAAGTAATTGTTGTCTCTGAGGAGCCTGAAAAAGTCAGTTTAGTATCAAAGGATGACGAATCACCATGTCCACCTAAAAAAGAAAAGATACACTCTTCAAAAAACGAAACGCATGAGCCATTTTAGAAGAATTTATTGTGTTATTTTAAGAGCAATTATTTCATGTAATTTCAATGGCAAAAAGGTGAAAATTCACAAGTCTATAGACAAAGAGTTGGCTAACACAACATCAGCCTTTATTGTTTCTGTTTACTGGAGTCCACAAGATGGCGTCAAAGTCAGTTCTTTGGTATGGCCACCATTGGCAGCAATTACTGCTCGGCACCGTCTCGGCACAGACTGGATAAGTCGGCGAAGTCACCCTTGTGGAATTCATCCCCACGCTTCCTGCTGTGTGATGGCCAGTTGTGGAAGTGTCTGAGGCGTGTGTTGACGTAGATGTACACGTCGATCGAATTCATCCCATAGGTGTTCTACCGGGCTTAGATCTGGTGTTTGGGAAGGCCATGGCAAGACATTGATGTTAGAATTGGCAAGGTAGCGGACCGTGACGCGTGCTGTATGTGAAGTAGCGTTGTCATGCTGGAACAACTCCCTCTGTCGGTTTATAATCGGAAGTATGTGACGTGCAAGGACTTCGTTGATGTACCGATTTACTGTCAGATTCCCCTGAGCCACCACTAAATCAGATCTTTATGTGCTGGATATTGCACCCCACACTATGACACTTCCCCAACCGAATCTGTCGAATGCAATTAGGGGCAAAACGTTCATTTCTCCGACGGTAAACATGCTGTCTTCCATCTCGCCGGTGAAGAAGAAATCGCGATTCATCACTGAACCAGACTGGCCTCCAGTTTCTAAGGTTCCAGTTCCGGACTCTACGACATCACCACAAGCAATTGCGCCAATGGAATTCTCTCAAAACTAGGGCTGTGTATTGGCAAATAAATTGTATTGCAATATATTGTGATTCTGGTACCCGTATTCCGATACGTATTGCGATGCATTGGGAGCCTAAGTGTTTGACAGTGAGTGACATCGATTGTACATGCAGAGACTATTTTCTACATACTAAGGCCATAAAAATAAACTTAATGGTTGTGATAACAGAAATTTCGAATTTAGATTTGATTTTGAAGGATTGTATTTTCTTTTTTATAAAATGTATTGTATGTAAAGTATGCTGTTTTGTCAATCAATTACAATGGAAAACATCAGCGGAATGAAAGTCTGTATGGATTTGAACTTAAACCATAAAGATAATCACAAAAAACAACAACATTGCATTACGTATCGTTTGAAAGGCCTATTGCGATATACCGTTAATAGCGGGCAGGCCTGGCGACAACTGGCCTTCTTGGTCGAATCCCCACTTCACGCAATCGATTCCTGACAGTTTGGTCGGAAATGTTTCTCAAACCAGGGATGCGTTGTGCAGTCTCCATTGTTGTGGCAAGACGATGACGCAAGTGAGCAACCGGGAAGTAGCGACCCTGGGCTTGGGTGGTAACTCTTTGACGGCCGCTTCTTGGGCGGAATTGGTCTGCAGGAAACAATCCCATAAGACGAGATATGGTGCTCTGATGAACGTTGAAATGTCGGGCAACTACAAACTGCGACTCCCCAGCTTCAAAGCGGCCTATGGCGATGTTTCGATCGGCGGCACTCAGTCGTGGCTTGATGATTTCCTCTTTTCCAGGCAAAACGAATGACAAAATTAAACACCACCTTTGTCTTTTTGTAGTCATCGATACTCCATGCTTTTCCGCTTACTTGCATGTGCATGTTGACCTGCATGTTTTCTTGGTGATGTTTTGGCTAATATTTCTTGAATCGCTTCTAAAACAAGGGAAAAGGTTAAAATTGCCGCGTTTTGGTGCTGAAGCACAAAGATGACATTTTGGAAAGAAATAGTATATTTGTATTGTTTTGCCGCAGCTACATGAGTCCAATATTCTCAAAATCACCGCGTTTCTTTCTTTTTTTTTTTTTTTTGAAGAGTGTAGATGATGAATTGATGAATGAAACCGCACTTTCATGGCATTGCTTTCGATAGGTGTAGATGTGCTCACAGGGGGGTGAGTATGTGTCCTGTTTAATGAGCTGCCCAAAGTGATTCCACTCACTTGTAGTGTCTCCATCTGCAAATGTTTTGCGACTGATAAGACCATGTTAAAACAATAGTTAAGAATACAAACCACTGCCACTTTTACTCAGATATTCTATAGAAGTTGACGGAGAGAATTTGTACGTAAGAAATATAATTACCATGTAGTACCCCCCCAAAAATGGTGAAAAACAATTATCAAGTTAAGTTAGCTCTACGTGACTGAAATACTGATGTATCTATATGGTTTCTCTGTGAATAAACAACTTTTGGGCACTACAGCACAGGTTTTTCACTAGAAACATTTTGAATAACCACCGTAAAGTGTTCACTGTGTAAATTAGAGTTCGAAAAGAAATCGTTCACCATGATGTTCTTAAATCGTTCACTAACAGTTTGATGGTGTTGGTCTTTCGAGGATGAAAGCTCGAAAATGGGGCAACAGTAAGTATTCAAATTTGGCACAAAGATAGTTCGATAATTACTCTAAATGTTGGTGTATTTTGTTTTTCGTTTATACAGCAATGATACTTTAAACTTTGATATATTTATGCATCTTACGGAAACATAGCCGATGCTAGACAATGTTTTCAAGCTCATGGGCTTGTATGATGACAGAATGGAAAGTTATTTGGTGGAATTACGCACATGTGTCTTCTATTTTACAGCATGAATTTGGGGACAGTGTGGCCTATACAAATATAGATATTGACAATTTTCCTTCACCTAAAAAATAAAACCTGTTCTCCTCGTGATAAATCGTTCACTTCCTGCTATGAACTATTTCCTGCCGTTCACCGCTCCAACGGTGTGAATGAACACACTACAGTACTACAGATAGGGTGTATGTAGGTCCTCGGGGAGGCAGGGTGTTGGCTGACCTTATGTTAACTTCAGATGAGTTAAGTGGTTTAATATGATGATTTCAATCGTTTCCTTTTTCATAACTGAATGATACTCAGATAACATTCCACTTCAAGTAAGCGAGTTTGGTGATGTGTCAAATCTGCGATTATCAAGCAATGATTTCAAAGTTGTTGTTGGAAGTAAATGCTGTCCAAAGTATTCAAAGTTCTGCCTTCAGTTCTGGTGTTATTTCTTCTTCAGAAACAGGCCTGCACAACCAAGATGGCTGACTTCTTCAGTTTTCTCCAGTCGACCTTGAGTCAGGAAAAACAAATGGAAGATGCTGTCAACAACAATGACATGGACCGTGTCTGTGAACTCATCAAGGACTACAAGATCAACAACAAGGTTCAGCAACAAGGCGGCAACACTGCTCTCCACCTTGCCACCAGACTTGGACATAAAGAAATCGTAAAGAAGCTCCTTGAAGCAGGAGCTGATCCCATGTTGAAAAACGACTTTAATTTGACGCCTATTGACACTGCTACAAGGAAGAGTCATCAGGACTGTCTCATACTTCTATTACGTTACGCTACAAACTTCCCAGCAATCAGCGTCATGTGGTTGCAATCAGGAGGATCCATGATACTCTGGAAAGAAGCCACCGATGTTGTCATGGGAACACTGTTGTGTGCCACACCCAATTTTGGATCCACTCGGAGTAATACACAGAACAATTTATTTTTCCGACTGGTAGATACGAAAATGTTACACAGTTTGAAACTCCTGGTGATGACGGGGTACAAGCTAACAAATGAACAGAAGTTGAAACTTGAATCATCGGATGAAAAGCAATTTCTTGAATGGCTGAAGTCGTATCTATTCAAGCCTCAGTCGTTACAGCATTATTGTCGCATTGCAATTCGACAAGCTTTTGAGTCTCGATTCAACGTCTTCTATGGGACGAGGTTTCTGCCCCTCCCAGCATCACTACGGGACTTTGTTTGTCTGGACAGTGAACTCCATTCCATGGAGAAGAAGGAAAAGGAGAGCACCGAAGCCAGTGACGAGATGTAGACACGTTCCAGTCAACTCAACGTCTTTCAGTGAATTGGAGTAATGGGCCAAAACAGATTGGTTGAAATCTTTGTCTCTTTCCCAAAAGTAAATGTATGGATTGCAATATGGTTTAAAATTGTCTTAAAAGTCTACGGACCCAAATGAATGCTTCACTGTCTGTTATGTCTATGAAGTCTGATAACAAGCATTAGAAAAATTACTTAAAAGCAGGTGAGTCAGAATGAGAGGCAACGCTGTAATGACCCAACTATAAGTCTACAAGTTTCTGATATTATTTTATTTCAATCTAAACTGTACGTACTCACTAGTCCAACAGGAAACCAAGACATTGCCCAGAGTCGGACTTCAGGAGGACAATCAATGAAGACACTGTGATACAAAGTGGATAAACACAGGGCAAGGCATCATGTTGGCTTCCACTACCGGGTATATTACGCAAGTCTTAAGAGTGATACTGAGATATTTCACATTAGTTTCATGTGTCAGACGTAATTGGTTTGGATGAACATACAAGGAGAGAATGATTCCAGTCTAAACTGGAGTGGTGCATGTTATGTCAATATTGAGAATGAAAATTGATTGTTGATTGGCTATTTTGTTATATATTTCTTTGTGACTGACTTATAAGTATGTTGCAGTTTGTTACTCTATGTGTCAATGATATAATTTTGTTAACTTTATACCAGTGCATGTATTTTTCATAAACACAAGAAGCCAATTTTCATGTGAGTTTCTTACTCTGGAGAAGGATTCCACTATGCTAGTTCTTGATGCGAAGTGTGTGCAGGCAAAGGGGAGGTAACTCTTAAGTGTGTGTCATCCTGATTAACATGAATTATGATTTATGTTTGGGATTTGCTTTATTATGATCTATACAAATTTGCAAATGCTGATACAACTTGCATATCAAAATATTTTTGCTTCCTTCATACAGTATTAAATTCAAAGATTCTACTAAATGTAGCCATATCTTACAACTTAGGTGCTGGAAAGATTATTTTCCTACAATTGTGTGCATAATTAGTAACTTTGTTAACCAAGAAGATCAAGTGAGGAAAGTAGCAATGGTTGTGAGGAAACTAGCTTTAATACAGTATAGCGAGACATGATATAGCTGGTGGAAGACAGTGTCTGTGTGGTTGATGTGTACAGTTTTTGTGGAGATTATGAAATGTTAAAATACCGCTATGAAGGGAACATACCTCTGATGTACTTGTAAAATTGCATATAATGCACAATGTTTCTTGTTAAAACCCTTTTCTTGTTTGCACCCGTGAAGATCCGGGTTCATTTATTAAAAAAAATAAAAGTAGATGGTCAGTAAGTCCCAAGTTTTAACAGTATGAAAAGTGTGATTATCTCTGTTGTGTATGTTCCAACGATATTGTTTCTATGAGATGAGTACTGGAGAGCATTATTATTATTATTATAGGATATTTATATAGCGCACATATCCACGTATCTAGTACGTGCTCAAGGGCTGACATTTTCCCCCTCGATCACTGGACGTCAGTCTCAACGACGCATCATATTATCAATCTGAACTCCCTGGGGATCATACAACTCTTGCTGCCACTAGGCGCACCGAGTTATTGCGGCTTTCTCATCCTTACGAGGTATACTGCCTTGCTAGACGCACTGCTGTTAGTTGTCATATCATACCCTGAATTTAGCTGTCATATCAGTACCCTGAATTTAGCTGTCATATCAGTACCCTGAATTTAGCTGTCATATAAGTACCCTGAATTTAGCTGTCATATCAGTACCCTGAATTTAGTTGTCATATCATTTATGTAAGTACCCTGAATTTAGCTGTCATATCAGTACCCTGAATTTAGCTGTCATATAAGTACCCTGAATTTAGCTGTCATATAAGTACCCTGAATTTAGCTGTCATATAAGTACCCTGAATTTAGCTGTCATATAAGTACCCTGAATTTAGCTGTCATATAAGTACCCTGAATTTAGCTGTCATATAAGTACCCTGAATTTAGCTGTCATATCAGTACCCTGAATTTAGCTGTCATATCAGTACCCTGAATTTAGCTGTCATACCCTGAATTTAGCTGTCATATAGTACCCTGAATTTAGTTGTCATATCAGTACCCTGAATTTAGCTGTCATATAAGTACCCTGAATTTAGCTGTCATATCAGTACCCTGAATTTAGCTGTCATATCAGTACCCTGAATTTAGCTGTCATATAAGTACCCTGAATTTAGTTGTCATATCAGTACCCTGAATTTAGCTGTCATATCAGTACCCTGAATTTAGCTGTCATATCAGTACCCTGAATTTAGCTGTCATATCAGTACCCTGAATTTAGCTGTCATATCAGTACCCTGAATTTAGCTGTCATATCAGTACCCTGAATTTAGCTGTCATATCAGTACCCTGAATTTAGCTGTCATATAAGTACCCTGAATTTAGCTGTCATATAAGTACCCTGAATTTAGCTGTCATATCAGTACCCTGAATTTAGGTCATGTGTCATATCAGTACCCTGAATTTAGCTGTCATATCAGTACCCTGAATTTAGTTGTCATATCAGTACCTGAATTTAGCTTGTCATATCAGTACCCTGAATTTAGCTGTCATATCAGTACCCTGAATTTAGCTGTCATATCAGTATCCTGAATTTAGCTGTCATATCAGTACCCTGAATTTAGCTGTCATATAAGTACCCTGAATTTAGCTGTCATATAAGTACCCTGAATTTAGCTGTCATATAAGTACCCTGAATTTAGCTGTCATATAAGTACCCTGAATTTAGCTGTCATATCAGTACCCTGAATTTAGCTGTCATATCAGTACCCTTTAGCTGTCAATTTAGTTGTCATATAAGTACCCTGAATTTAGCTGTCATATCAGTACCCTGAATTTAGCTGTCATATCAGTACCCTGAATTTAGCTGTCATATCAGTACCCTGAATTTAGCTGTCATATCAGTACCCTGAATTTCAGTACCCTGAATTTCATCATATCAGTACCCTGAATTTAGCTGTCATATCAGTACCCTGAATTTAGTTGTCATATCAGTACCCTGAATTTAGCTGTCATATCAGTACCCTGAATTTAGTTGTCATATCAGTACCCTGAATTTAGTTGTCATATCAGTACCCTGAATTTAGTACATACCCTGAATTTAGTATGTCCCTGAATTTAGCTGTCATATCAGTACCCTGAATTTAGTCATATCAGTACCCTGAATTTAGTTGTCATATCTATACCCTGAAATTTGTGCATGTCCATAACTAAAGACTATCTCTACTGATCACAAGTACTTGTGCACTAAACAAGGATGAATCTCCTACTGCGCAGTCTGATGCTGCCTCACAGATATAGCTGTACACTCACTAAGGGCCATACTGTTATACTTCTAGTCTGTCATACAGACCCTGAAACAAATATATCCAAGAGAACTCATGCAAGTTAGAATGTGTGGCAAGTCTAGATTTCCACAGTTCAGAAAATGAAAAGAAAGTCTCTGGGCTCCTTATCATTATATTTTAGGATTATTTTTATGAACAGTATTTTTCTGTAAAACATGTTCATATCAGAGGCTAGATGTTAGTATATCGTACTTCAAGCCTTCTAGCTTCAGGCATACATGTAACTTGGCATGACAATTATTTGTAGTTTTCGACTTTTTCATAATATATGTGAATCAGTAATGATTAGCTGTGAACACTGACAAGTGCTTATGATCCTTGCTGGACGGGTTGTAGGAAAAAAAGTCATGGAAAAATAGTCATAGATTTGGGTAGGAAAAAAAGTCATCGGAAAAAAAAATCATAAACTCAAAAAAGGTCAGTATTGATAATGTATTTATTTAACAAGTCATAACAATATTATCATCAACAGCACTACCACCTTTGAACCTAACTTATAAAATTAACGTAAACATTCAAGTAAAATACATGACATCAGAAAATGCACTATCATCATAACACTATCATCTGCAACAACACTACATCAGTCAGTTGTCCTAGCATATTTAACCGAATGTTCCAGCCAATGCCGTGAAGAGTTTGAGTCACAGTCTTACGGCCAGCGTGTCTTATATTAGCTGCTAGAAGGAAGCCATTTGAGTAAAAGCATCAACTGATAATCCCATGAGTTCATTAATCAGTGTGACATCGTCAAGCTCAAAGCAAGTTAAACAAACAATCATATGACTTGTGACTTTTAATCCCATAGTCCTTGAAGAACTAAACAAATAATAATATGTTCATTTCTCCTGTTTTGATAAGATCCGATTGCTTACAGCATCACACTGAAAGAAATAATTAACTTAAAAGTGAAATAGTATAAACAATGTAAATGGAGAAAAGGACGTTTTTATAACAGTTGTTGTTGAATTAGTTTTTTACAAATAACTGGAGAACAGGATGTTTTTATTATTGACGATAAAATTGGAATATATAAAATACAGTATAAACAAGGTAAATAACTGGAGAACAGGATGTTTTATAATAGTTATTTTTCCTATGACTTTTTTTTCCATGACTTTTTCCTATGACTTTTTTCCGTCCAGCGCTGGACGAGGTGGACTCTCCTGTATGCTGCCCATGTCCTGTGTAGTGACCCCACACTGGCTGTGATGTATTGCAGTACAATTTACAATGAAATCTGCATGGCATAATGATGAAAGAAATGTATGCAATATTTATTATATTTTTACTTACTGTTTTATGTGGTAGTTATTATAATGTCAACATACCTTCAGTTTGCGAGGTGAACCGTGGATATAAACTGGTGTACATCCCAGGAAACCAGTGATAACGACGCCATACTGACCGAACAGCCTGTAGTGGTTACAGTGTCCGTTGTCAGGCCAATGTGCCAGGTTGGATTCTGGCATCACTGAATTTTTCCGGGATGTTACGAGTCATGCTAAAGACACTAAAACCCTCTACTCGCTGAGAATGTCTCGATTGACTGTATTACCTACATTAGTAGAAATATATTCCATTTCTTCCTGTTGATCAATACCAAATATGCAATCGTGGTTGTGATGAAAGGAACCAATGTGCGAATCACTTGAACCATTTCCTGTACAGAACACCTTGTGGTATGCACTTGTACACATGAACCAATTACTTGTTGATGATATGTATTGTATATTTGTGATATATTTATTTTTGGTTTCAATACTTGTTTGGATATTGTATTGTTGTTACAAGTGTTATGAATTTGCTACTGGATATTGTTAGCCCTGAGTTAATTCCACCGTTGTCTGTTGTCTAGTTAAGCAATTGTTGGTTGTCTTTATTTCATTATACGTGACAATGGGTGAATAATGAAGTAGAAAGACAAACGAGATGGAAAAAGTTGAAGTCAGTTATGAGACTGTAGTTATCTCCCTTTGACCAGTTATTATATGCTTGCAGGGTTTAGCATATGGTCTGAAACAGGAAGTGTTTTTGTTTGAGATGAGTGATATTTACTTGTGACATGTTTTCATAGAAGGTCATTCACTCAAACAGCACTCAACTCATCCTTCAATACATGCTAGGTTAGTAATAACTGTTTATCATGAGAAATAGTTTCACACAGGAGACTTGGACTGGGCGTAACCTCTGCACACTGACAATAACAGATAATCAGTGACTGAACCCCTGACCTCATTTGAATATTACTGTGTACCTGTAATTAATACCGGACAACCGAGGTTGCTGCATTTTGTATGTCTACCTGAGCAATAAGCCATGTACCGGTACTTGACAAGTGTAACACCAGATGTTGATACAGGTTGGATGTGGCAAGTGTAACACCAGATGTTGATACAGGTTGGATGTGGCAAGTGTAACACCAGATGTTGATACAGGTTGGATGTGGCAAGTGTAACACCAGATGTTGATACAGGTTGGATGTGGCAAGTGTAACACCAGATGTTGATACAGGTTGGATGTGGCAAGTGTAACACCAGATGTTGATACAGGTTGGATGTGGCAAGTGTAACACCAGATGTTGATACAGGTTGGATGTGGCAAGTGTAACACCAGATGTTGATACAGGTTGGATGTGGCAAGTTAACACCAGTGTTGGAACACCAGATGTTGATACAGGTTGGATGTGGCAAGTGTAACACCAGATGTTGATACAGGTTGGATGTGGCAAGTGTAACACCAGATGTTGATACAGGTTGGATGTGGCAAGTGTAACACCAGATGTTGATACAGGTTGGATGTGGCAAAGTGTAACACCAGATGTTGATACAGGTTGGATGTGGCAAGTGTAACACCAGATGTTGATACAGGTTGGATGTGGCAAGTGTAACAACACAGATGTTGATACAGGTTGGATGTGGCAAGTGTAACACCAGATGTTGATAAAAAGGTTGGATGTGGCAAGAAGTTTAACACCAGATGTTGATACAGGTTGGATGTGGCAAGTGTAACACCAGATGTTGATAAAGGTTGGATGTGGTAAGTTAACACCAGATGTTGATATAGGTTGGATGTGGCAAGTGTAACAACAGATGTTGATACAGGTTGGATGTGGTAAGTTTAACACCAGATGTTGATACAGGTTGGATGTGGCAAGTGTAACACCAGATGTTGATAAAGGTTGGATGTGGTAAGTTTAACACCAGATGTTGATACAGGTTGGATGTGGCAAGTGTAACAGCAGATGTTGATACAGGTTGGATGTGGCAAGTGTAACACCAGATGTTGATACAGGTTGGATGTGGCAAGTGTAACACCAGATGTTGATACAGGTTGGATGTGGCAAGTGTAACACCAGATGTTGATACAGGTTGGATGTGGCAAGTGTAACACCAGATGTTGATACAGGTTGGATGTGGCAAGTGTAACACCAGATGTTGATACAGGTTGGATGTGGCAAGTTAACATGCAAGACAATATTAATAACAACAAATAACAATCCAGTGAAATTTGAAAATACATCAAGAGCAATAGGTGTTTCTAATCTTTTAAGCAAATTTTACCTAAACTTATCCCTAAATATATAAAAAGTTAAATAAGTTTTGAAAGTTTGCCTGTTTGTAACCCAAACTTATTGGTTTGTAAGTTTTGTAAGACATGTTAGAACACATGTCATCCTCTGTTGATGTCAGATATATCAACATGACCTGACACAAGTGAGTGCGTCAGTATTAATGCTGCTTAACGCTGCATCGGCAATTTTACTGCTATTTCCAGCGAAGGGTTGACACAAGATTTTGTCAGATACATCAGCATGAGTTGACACAAGATGCTTGCAGAGGATGGTAGATTTTAATCAAAAACTGTTGATAGGTTTCACATCAAAAGGTACGAAGATGATATCAGATTTTTCATCCCAAACCATTTTTTCAAGGTTTTAGGTTAATAAACATGAGTCGACATGAGTGAGAGTATTGCTTAATGCAATTTTACTGCTATTACCAGAAAAGGGTCTACAGAAGATTTCATCAGATATATAAACATGAGTTGACACAAGATAAACAGTTAAAAACAAAGTCTTGAGTGCATAAGGTACAACTGTCAAAGATAATGATGCCATTTGATTGTGATGTAACACAAACCGATGTGACAATGTTCTGTAAAGCACTGTGATGCAGCTTGATGTAAATGCTGGTGTCATGCCCCAATACTAGTATTTCTTCACATACTTTCCAAATATGGTGGTTTGTAGCTACAGGGTATATGGATGTGATAAACTCGTGTTTATGACTGTGTTCTCAGGATGAAGCGTGTCTGTGAGGATCACAAGAAGATGTACCATGCTTGGAGGTTGATCATGTTGCAAGTGTATGTCATGCCATTTGTCAATAAACCTTTGAATAGACTGAAGTGTTGCTGTTTCTGTCAGTGATGGAAGTTGTTTGTCACAGTAGACAGTAGACCACTGGATTCAGCAAATAGAAGTGAGAAGGTACTGTTGGCGCCCATAAAGTGACAAGTCACGGAAAGCTGTGGACCTAACTTAACAACTGGGTGACAAGCAAATCTTTCTTTTTTTTTTATTCCTGGACAAAGTACATTTGCTGATTGTGTCACTTTTTGTTTACATAACCAGGGAAGAAAAAAAGAGAGGAAAAAAATAAATAATAATAAATATATAATAAAGAAAAAAAACTATATATCACTCATACTCATCCATACACTAATTCACACCCACTAGAAGCTTTTAACATTCATGTTGGATACTGCAGGAGGAGATATTCAGCAGTGTTTTGGAGGGTGATTTAAAAATAATACTTATATACATGTATACACATACATACAAAAACACACACACACATGCATGCATACAGTGTAGCATGTTACCAAAGGTTTTCATAAGAAGCATTTCCTAAAAAATTCAGCATGTTTGGATTTATTAAAGTGTCTAGTTTTTTCTATCTGGTAGTAGTATTTAACCTCGTTTTGGAAATGTTTTATGTTTGGTAGGTAGTTTTGCATTTTGCACCTGTAGATGTGAAATTTGGCTAACAAGAGTATTAAATCAAAAATATCATCAGTTTGAAAATTTTGAGAAGAGCCAAAAAAGGATTAAATGTAAAATAAGATTTATCTTACCATTATGTAGATATTTGGATTCAATCCATTGTAAAAATCTTTTCCAAAATATTTTGCTTACCCTACAGTCCCAAAACTGATGTTGGACAGATTCTGACTCAGCCTACAGAAAGTACATAAACAGTTATCAACAATATGCATCTTAGTAAGTATTGACAGGTAGAACTCTGTGGAGTAATCTGAGCTGGAACCATCTAATCTAAGGGTCTGGAGTAGTTTTGTGTGCTCTCGTAAATAGGCTAGGCCAGTTCATATTGATTAAAAGTTCTTCTTCAGGGTTCGAAATACATATGGCATATATATGGCACGGTAAATTTTGAAATGGCACGGATAAAAAATATTCTTGGTGCCCTTATGGCATGCCTAATTTTTTAGAGACATAACTCACCTTTAGTCATTTAATCCCCAAAACAAAACACTTATGCAAATGACAAACAAGCAAAAACATTTATTGACTTTATTGCCCAGGAAGTTACTGGAATTATGATGGATGATGTAAAGAAATCTGGTTGTTTTTCCATATAGAGTGATGGGAGTACTGATAGTTCAGTTATTGAAGAGGAAATTGTGCATGTTAGCTATATTGAACAAGATAACCTGTCACACAATTCTTAGCTATCAAAGGTGCTGGGAAACCAGAACAAATGATGCTTAAGAAAACCATCTTAACAGAAGACACATCAGCGATAACAGAAAACAGGTTACATTTGTTGTTTACTAACAATAAATTTCAAATGATCATCATCATTAATACAGTCATTCATTCTAAAAACATGTGGGCACACTTGATTTCTGAAAGGCACAGTTAAAATATTTTCCTGGTGCCCAAAGGCACACTTAGAAAAAAAAGTATTTTTTATCCCTGTTCTTCCCACTTTTCAATGACTTTTAAGTTATCTTCAGTTTGAGTTATTACATAATAGTATTTTTTTCAGCCTTTTTTACATGAAAAAAGATTGTTAATATATATTCGTGTTGTTTGTTATTTCCAGATCAGGGATTTTTTTAATGCCTAAGTGTTTGAGGTATTTGGTAACTGCTCTTATAATGCCATAATCGTTACGGAATTGTTGCAATGTCATAAAATTACCATCAGTGTTTAGCAGGCAATGAATGCTGTATATATTGTTAACATAGAAGTTTCGGTTGTAGAATGATTTGCCATTTATAGTCATATTTTGGTTGTATAGCAGGGGTTCTCTTAGGAACTCTTCATACCGTTATTTGGTTTTATCTTGTTGCTGTATTTGGAAAAGGCAATAAGACAATCTTTCCAAAAGTGGTTTTGTGTTTTTCTAGCAAGCTTTAGGTGAAAATCACTTCCAAAAAGGAGTATGTCGGAAAAGTCAGGATTCACATTAGTCATTAAAGTTTTCCATTTCTTTTCAAAGTCAACATTTAGTAGTTTCTTCATCAGATAATTTTCAAAGAGTCAACATAAGCAAAGATATCTATCATACCAAGTCCCCCCTGGGATATAGGTTTACAAACAACTGTTCTCTTTATTTTGTCTGGGTTATTATCCCATAAAAACCTAAAAAGGATATTATTTATCTTTCTAAGGAATTCTTCTGGTGGATTTGGGAGTGTAAGAAAAAGGAAGTTGAGTTTTGAAATGAGCATTGATTTGATTACTGCAATTTTTCCCAATGGTGTTATTATTCTTTTCATCCATCTCTTAATAGTTTGTTCGATTTCAAAGATTTTGCTTTCAAAGTTCAGTTTAATCATTCTATCACAATTAGTTGAAAATATTATGCCTAGAATTTAAAGGTTTCAGGGTTCCATTCAAGGTTTAAATCTGGTCTAAATTTGACAAGCAAATCTGATCTGGGTACCCGCAGGGTGACAAGAAATAACCTTGGTTCCACAAGGGCACAAGGTTTCATTCAGTCAGTCATGATTCAAAATAGTTAGATCACTCAGATTTCAGTGTTTCATCCTGGAAATGGTCAGCGAATAAACATCGGGTCCATGTGTGCAAACTGTGCAGTGAAATCTCTTTATCAACACCTCTATTGCATATATCACTGAACTTTGTCAAGACAAAATAGCAGATTCTTCTTTTTTAAATCGTACCTCTGAGGTGAGTTTGTTCACATTACCAATTCAATAATGTCATTTGTTATGTTTACAGACAAAGGTATTTAACCCAGTGTAAGAATACCCACATGGATGATCCACCTGGGTCATAATTTCATCCCTTTTTTGCCTACATGGAAAACTTGACTTGTTCGGGACTGCAATGGGATAAGTTAACAAGATTTCCCTGGACATGAACATCTGAACAACAAACCTCGCGTGTGGAAAGATGATCACTGAGTTGCTCTGCCTCCTCAAAATCTCCACCAGCGATGGCTGCATCAACGTTCTTCTCCAGCTGAGTCTTGGGTGCATGTTTCCCGTGGTCCACTCCTTTCAGATGGTCATTGACAGTCAGCAACTCTCGCACCTCCTGCCACTCCGTGTTACTGGTCGATGTGGAAGGAGCACCACTTAAACAGCAAGGTTACCACGGTTACAGATATATGACACCAACCTGGAAATTCTTGAGGACCAAAGACACCAGTGGTTGATGTCATATATTTCTCAAAGTGCTAATGACAGTATCATAGTTAAACCTGTTCTTTTTTCTAAATCAAACGTGGCAAGGTGGCAGAAATCCATAGTCCCACCAACGGACACAACTCACTTCTCTTTGACTTGCAACCACTGGATGCCAATCCCAGACAAATACAGGCAGTACTTATATTTTGTTAAGTAGTATGAAATAATTTACATTCACAATGAATGCAGCGAGTTCAAATATCATGGAATAACCAAATCATGATGGATAAAATATATATGCTGGACAAACATATTTTTCAAAAGTGACGAGGACAGCATTATGGTTTTACCTGTACTTTTTACTAAAATCCAAAGTGATAAGGAGGAATCTTCAGTCCCACTAACAGACACGACTCACAACCAGCACACAGTGAACTCACCAAATTGGTTTCTTTGTAACTGAGTGTACAGCTTGTGAGTTGATTGATTCAAGCAGGTAGCTTTTGTAAGTTACTAGTAGGTGAAAGTGGTTAGCTACTGGGAAAACATTTAATTACACTAGCAATTGTTAAAATAGTTCAGTGTTGTTTGTGACTTGATGTGAAATAGCCTTGTTTGTTGGCTAGTTTTGTCAACAATGTGTGTGAATCTTGTACCCATGTCACAGATTGAGGACTGTGACTATGACAACTACCATAAACCATGTACAGCTTTACACTACTGATGTCCAGAAGATCTGGGTGAACATTACTCATAACGAAAAGACTTCCGCCCGTAATCCCCCTAAATTTTAACGATGAGGAACAATTTCTTTAAGTTTTTAGAAGTTGGACATGTCTTTCAGTATGTTCAGACACAATTAAAGAAACATATTAAAACTCATCCTTATCAGATGAAACAGAATGAAACAAATGGGGGGATACAGACGGAAGTCTTTCTGGACTGTTTGCTGGTTGGCTGAAGACGTCTTGGCAGGCTCCTGGAAAATCCTACCCACCACTCTGATTGTGGAACAACAACAGATAAGAGTTCCGCCCGTAACCCCCGCTTGAAATATATTCTATTTATCAGGATTATTTGGAGGTTTTAAGGTAGATTAGGGTTTAAGATGGAAAGAGTTCCTTCCGTTCCCCCCATATTGTTTTTGTAACCATTACCGTGCCTAGGGCCCTTATCATACAACGTGGTTTGACCCTTTATACTGTAATGAATTTTTTGGGTATTAGTTATTTTTGTGAGTTCTCTCATAATTGTTGTGTTAGGTTTTGTTGATAATTTTAGTATATATTAATTTATAAATATTATTTGGGATGGGGGAACGAGAGGAACTCTTAGTCTTACCCCACAGTAACAGACAAATGCAAATATAGTACATTTCTAAGATTATCAGCCTATGATGAATCTATGATTACAAAGGTACCTTGGCTTTTCTTCAGTTTTCCTCTTTCTGTTTGACTGCATTCTCTCAGGATTTCTTATAACTGGTGGCCCAAGACGTACATCATGCTCTCGCAAAATATCAAGATCATCTGGGTTGGTTATTTCTTCCTGAACTGGGAAATAAAACTAAAGACTTTACAAATATGTGGTGAGTGAACTGATGATATCCCTTTTAATAGTATCACTTTAATATTTTACTAACATTCAAAATCTGTTCCTAAAAAACTGTACACACGAAGTCCAAACTCTTCATTACCTTTAGCAAGTGTTTCTCTCTGAAGATGTTTGATCCTCTTCTGAGTTGATCGTTTAGTGGCATCATCAGTTCTCTTCTGTAAAACTTTAAACTTCTGTTGAAACACAAAGACATTGTTTTTCATAATCCATCTGTTCATAGTTACCATGTGTGTATGGCAAGAAACAATTACAATACACCATGCAATATCAAATCTGCATAAATTGAGGGCAAGATATTTGACCTTACATCAACCACTACCTAAATGTTTTCCTTCAATTATATAAAGGAATTCAAACGCTAACAGATTTCAGTTTTTATGCACAAGCTACTTCTTGCAGCGATCTCACCTACATCTATCTATGATCCTAGCTGTTTCGAAAACCTTCATTCACATTTTGCTACCCATCATCATGTCATTGTGTCACTTATATATACGGTATATTCTAAAGGTGCATGGAATTTTTCAGTGTTCAATACTTGCTTGTTAAGAACACTCACTGAGAGAATTCGGTAAAATGATAATAAATGTGCACGGTGATTGATGAACAAACTGCATAATTAGTTGAAAATTTTATAAAATTTCTTAAAATATGGCCCCATAAGTTTTGAAAATGACCCCATTTATTTACGCTGAAGGGGTCCCAGTTCCCCCCTTGTCCAGTTGCTTGGCAGGATGATATCTATAAAATTACTGACTTAATAATTTCTTTCCTTTCTCTTCTGTTTTCTCTTCCCATTTTTACACTCTGTTACTTTCAATCATAATGGCATATGTAAGACTGCAAATTCTAAATCTAAAGTGCCTGCACTGGCTCATTGTGCAAATTTAATACTTTGATGTCTGTAGACAATTCCACTGTGCTATGAAATCTAGCTATGTATCTATTTTATGCGAATGAGCTGCGTACAAGCCGTTTGTTGGCTGTATCATATACTTGTACTACAGGCCGACGGTCTACATACACCAGAATAAAGAGAGAATGACTGCTAAAACTCAGAAATATTTCTCAATAAATAATACACAAAATATATCACAAACTGAATGTTCTAATTTCTATAATCACTGATTGGAAGAATGCACATTGCCTAGCTTAGCAAGTGGTCAGATTGATGCAACAACTGTTATATTTCCAAATGGAGGACAGATTCTAGTACTTTTTTTGTGTGTTGAATCCCTCACTGGATTCGAACCCACTCAGACATAAAGAATGGACGTCTGACAACGGGTAGCCTAGATCACATATTTTGTAGGTGCGGTTAATATTCAGATATTACACTATCTGCCACCGTGTATGGTCAAGGCTCGGCGAAACTCAAGACATCATGGTCTCTGTGTTTAAACAATGACAGAGTCGACCAGACATTACAAATGAATAAGGCATTCACCTCCCACAAACGCTGAGAAACATTCTTTGGTTTGCCTTGGCGATCTTCTATGTTCAAACAAGATTCTGTTTTGGTATCGGATTTTTCACTCTTCGGACAGCTGTCATTCCTTTCACTCTCCGTTTCAGCACACGCTGTATCTTCGTCTGACTTATTTGACACAGGTTCGGCGTAAAGATCACTAGGGGCAGGTACTTGTGCGTACATGGTGTTTCTGTCAGTGTTGTCAGAGGAGACACAGAATCAAGGATTGTTATTATTTTGAAACATGCTGGTCATGGGCGCCGCCATTTTAACTCCAGGCGTGTCACGTGACAGGTACATGTAAAATATAAACTACATGATCAAAACGTGTTTATTTCTTAGTAAATCAACCACGATTAGTCTACTAAATACACAAAATATTTCGTTGTGGCCTTTTCCCTAAAATAGTTATTCGAAATGTTTCTCCATGATACCATTATATTCCCTGCATGCCGTAGTTCGGTTTAGAAAACAGTACTGACACTTTGAACGACGAAAGGATAATAGAAGTTTGGAAAGTTTGAATTGAACATGTAATTAAGTGAGGTTAGATTGTTTGAACAGTTCTAGAGATTTACACATATGTATGACGAGTTCAGTTTGGAAGAGGGATTTCGGATGAAAGATTGCCTTTACAAGGGAAATAACTCTTGCATGCCTAAAGGACAAGAAGCCCATATTTAAATAGGTTGATGTTATGCTACAATTTTACTTTACCTTGTTCTCAGAATTTTCTTATTATATTTGAGGGGTGCAGGCTAAAACGGAACCACAGCAAAACGGCACCTGGCGAAAACGGCACCATTTGGACATAACGGAACCTCGACTTGGCGAAAACGGCTACAAATCTTATGGCGAAAACGGCACAAACTAAAATCTTATGGGGAAAACTAGTTTGTTATAAGATAATCGGATTGCAGATAATAAATACATCTACTATTATGTCGGAACTATCAAAATTTAAGAACAAGGATGTATTTTTATATTCAAGGATACGATGTGAAAACTACTTTATACGGTAACGGCGCATTGAATAACTCAACTATTAGTGATATTCTGAGCTCATTACAACAGTTCATTTCTAAAAGTAACCGCTTACAGTAATTATCAAATCTACGTATATATAACAATATAACATGGAGTTTTGAAATTGTATATTTATTGCTTATGAAAAAGACAAAAACAGTCAAATACCACATCTGTGACATCAGCCACTGGAGTTGTGACACATGAACATTGAGTAAAATTGGGTGGTGTAAAGTAAATATAAAAATATAGTTTCCCTACTTTTGTTACTGTAAAGTGTAGAAGAATATTGTGATAAGTTAGTTGCCATAATTTTTTTGGTTTGATTTTGACTTAAGTTTGTCGGATACAAACATCTGACATAAATATGCACAGATTTTGAGAATGACTCATATGCTGATATAATCTTGCTAATGTTATAAAACATGAGTCAACTTCTTACTTTGTTTTATATGGTGCCGTTTTAGCCCAGAAATCAGTAGCCGATTTCGCCAATATGGTGCCGTTTTCGCCACACAAATTTAGTGCCGTTCTGCTGTGGTGCCGTTTTAGCTATAACCCATATTTGAGTACAATGGCAGATACATGCATCCATAGGAAAGACTTATTTTAACATGTGTCTTTAATTGTATCTAAACATACTGAGAGACATATTCAACTTCTAAAAATGCCACTCAAAGAAATTTTTCTTTATCGTTAAAATCTAGGGGATACGGGCGGAAGTCTTACCCATCCATATATTGATGGATTTGCCTTGATATATTATCACAGTCCTATGAGTAAAATACATGTTCTTTTATATTTCCCATAGTGGACTTATCTTTAATCATAATGTATAACATATACCCAGGTTAATGTTTGACACCATACATTTAGTTCAGCTCAGTTCTGAAAACTGTATGAGCTGGACAAAGTAAATTCAGCCTTCAGTCAGAGACAATTTGAGAAGAAGGTTTCCGTTATTCTTGGGGAGGAGTAACAAAATTATCCAGCTTGAACATATTAGAAGCCTGTGTATATTAAACGCCTCAGTACAATATAAAATGCCTCAATCACATCATGTCAATGACTCTCCGGCTCTGATCCAGTTCTTGCATCCAACCATATTCCATTTTCACACAGTCATGTCTTACACAGTTGTTCATGGTTTTTATCTGTTCATTTTAGACCAGTATATATATTTCGTTTTATATGTATCCGGCATATTTTCATTAAGAAAATATCTTCAAAATGCATATACCCTACATATAAGTCAACAGCTATGGAGGGTCAGCTGTACGGTCGCTTTGATGTGCAATGCTATTTTGTCATGCACCTTATCTTCTCTGTTGAAGTAGTATATCAATATAATTATGCAAAAACAATTTTCAAAGTGTACTGAAGAACTTGCATTAGGCCACTTGTGTTTGTTTCAGTATGAGTGTATTGTTTTACCAAAACAATTTGTTTGGTCCTGTGATCAGGCTGCACTCCCAAACCCAGTGTCATTCAGAACCGGAGGAAAATCTAGCCTTGCTTCATTTAGGCGTTTTGCTTCACTGAAATGGCTGAAAAGAGAAACCTAACGATGCTGCTACTACTGTTCAGGGCCTGAGACAGAGCGGTGGTCAGTGGAAGAAAAACTCTCTTGTGGAATTAAGTGAGCAGAGCCGAGTAAGCTTGGTGGCTGTAATATTTTATGCTGTAGAAAAAAAGAGTTATATTTCACCAATAACAAGGTCAGGAAAGAGAAACATTTAATAAGACCCTGCACTATTCAGTGAAATGATAGGGTATTTAAGAAATTGATAACTTGACATGTTTTTACAATTATAGGATGAACTGATGCTTGCTCATCTGTACAACTGATTGTCATGGTGCAACAATGAAAATAAGAATCTCAAAGCACTACAACACATGCACAGGCCTATGACAGGAGCATAATAAGATTACATTCATATGCTTGCTAATTCAAACCATCAAAACACTGTGAGCAAGTAAACAGATGATCATGGCCTCACCACTTCAGAAACTAACACTCATATAAAGGTTTCTTAAACCCCTGAATACATTTAATGAGATATCACATTAATAGAACAACCATGGGACTGGACCAGACAAACCAGTGATGGACAGCATGAGCAATGATTCCTGCCGCCAGGATGTTACAACACAGTCCACCAGGTCCCACATTGTGACCACCGGATCCACATTTGTGTGTGCTGCTACCTTTACTGCACTGAGAGCCTATGCGGGCCTGAAATTTCTGGAGACAATGAAAGTTTACTGCCTGTTTTTTCTGTTGCCCTGATATTTGAAGGAAGTCTGGACTTGTCATTATATGCACAAAGAAATAAAGCAGTGAAACACATGAATCCTGCATTTATAACCACTTGGCAACCTGCTACCTGTTTAAATGTGAATGAAACACACACAGTGCCTTCAAGCTGATACAGTTCAACACAGAGACTGTTGTCTAATGTCCCCGGTTTACATAATCCACCCGTGATAGTTTCCCCTATAAACCTTACATATGTAAATGTTTACTTTCCTTAGACAAAAAGACACAGTGATTCCATTTGTTGTAATGTTGGTGGTGATTATAGATGTAATCTCCCCGTTATTAACCTCCCAGCACCCCTCAGTCGTATATATATACACACTCATTGTTCCTCTTGTTGTTTGTGGAAAGGCAACTTGTCGGGTATTGTTCTGGGAAACTTTACCCTTTATCCCTACAATGGAGGGAATGATTTATCCTAAGTGATGGTTGAAAATCTGGAGAGTGAGGTGGAAGGGGATTTAGTTGTAATGGTGATGGGCGAGGATTTTTGGCAATAAAATATTTTTTGCTCTTTAGTTGTCGACTCATCTGAGGTGATGTCATGGTGTGCTGGCTGTCATAAATAGTGCCATCTTTTCAGAAATTGTAAGAAACTCAATTTATGCACTGTATCCCATTGTGGGCAGGTTTTGAATTTATAGAAATGTCAAAATCTCATATTGCTGCCATTGGGTACAGCAGTACTGAGGAAGGCCCAATCAAATGCTTTGTGTCCTGCCATGGGTGTTTTCTAAACCTGATCGTGGTTTGTGTACCGTATACAAATCATTCACTCCCCATGTGAATGTAAAATGTCTGATTGTACTACACTACTTTTAGACTGTTTTTATTTGTTAATGAAAAGGTGCTTTTTTTTCACATTTTTGAGTGGTATTTTCTTATTTTTCTAATTTATCAAATTTGTGATATATTGGAAAATGAATATTTACCAGTAATCATTCCAGATATTGTCCTTATGATCATTTTATAGAACAAGTTTAGTATGAGCAACTTTTCAACTTGAAGGTCATGGGTGTTTGATTGTCATGCTAGAATTTTGTTGCTAGGTATGAAAACATACAAATTCATGGCTTAAACATTCTGGTATATGGCATCAGCCATGTTTCAGAGTACATGCAAACACCAGTCTCAACATGCACAAGCTGGAATGGTTCAAGAACCCTAGAGCTATCCAAATATAGGTTTTGTTCCACATTTGAGAGACAGTGTATACAGCTCCTCTTTGGTGTCCCTTACCTTTGAATCAGTGTTTGCTTGATGTGCCTCAGGACTGGGTTTGATTCTCAGATGGACACAGTGTAAATATTCATCATGTTCATGCACTTTGCCAAGGAGAAGATGAGAAAGAAACTTTCCACCTCAATATGAACAAAGTTCACAGGCTCCATTTAGTTCATCGTATTCATCAGCCATTAGAACATCAACATCATATATAATCTGGAGATAATTATGTATTGCTTTTACAGTCTCATGTGGTTCGGTGAAGATAGTTGTTTGTAGCCAGCTCTAAGCCCTCCAGGATGATCATCAAGCCCTAAAAGACATCTTCCCCCTTGAACATGATGGTGTGACACGTTGCTGATAACAGGACACATCTGCTGCATAAAAAAAAGACCGTCAGCTTCACTGTCCCATGTTGTTAATTTGAAATGTCGTAAATGCCATTTTATTACATAGTCGTTATCAACACTCCATGACCTTGTTTGAAGCCCAACTTGACCTTCAGTATTAAATGATTCGCTTATATCACCCCAGTGAACTGAAGCAAACAATTGGCAGTTATCAAATGTGCAGAGATATTTGTGGAATAACAGGTCTGTGTCCAACCTTACTGGCCTGCGTGTGATGGCTTATGGGTACACCTTTGTGATGTGTCGTCCATCTAATCGCGGCTAATATGAGGTTATTTGTGCCACAATCGCCACTGACGAT